CTGGCCAAGGGATTTGTTTAAACCACATTTGTGAATTTTTCTCCCCTTTGTCCTGTGTTAACCGTTCCCTACATCACAGGTATGCCTTTATGTAGACTCCAACAGCTCTAAAGGACAGAGTGTCTCCAGGGACCCTCTAGGGAGAACACGAAAGGTGGCCAACAAGGAAAATTAACTGACCACGTGCCCAAATGCACCCAGAGGAGGAGGATTATTAGAATCCAACTCGGGTTTCAGTTATAATCTTTCACAAGTGGTCACACTTGTTGATAACATCTATTTGAGGGAATGTTCATGAGCCATTTGGTAACAATAAAGCTTCAAAAGTACTTAGCTGTAACCCTAATCAGTTAATCTAAATAAGATCAGTTAAATTAAATAAAAATGTTAATGGGGGAAGTCATATAAACATTCATATTTTGAAGTCAAGTTTGTTTATTATCATTATTAACATTATTTTCCAAAATTAGTTACCCTCTACTTCCCATGAATGGCATGCACCTGTCTCACTAAAAATTCTTTTAGAGACAGTTAATGATCTTACTGTATGTTCTGATTTTATGTTTTGTTTTATTCATCTGACAATAATTTTTTTTAATTCTTAATTCTCCAAGATAGTTACTTATGTATTTTTAAAGGTCTATTTTATTGGGACTTTTAGTTTTCATTTTAGAGAGTTCATATTCCAGATCCCAATTCTGAGTTCCCCCTGACTTCTTATTGAAGGAATATGATTCACTCTTAATTGCTCTATGCTGCTTGTGTCTAAAGCAAAATAAAATGATATATTAAAATAATTATAGCTTAAATAATTATTGTGTAGTTGTCCCCTCTAGTTTTGAGTCAGTGACTCACACAGCAATTTTAAATATGTGAAAAAATATGGTGGAATTCAAACACTTATCATCCATATCAACTGCATTAAATATGTGTAATAAAATGTTTTAAATGATTCTTCTGTTGTCTTTTGGTTGTTTTGCTTTGTGTTGCCTGGGACCAAACTCAGGTCCTTGCTAATGCTAGGCAAATGCTGTAACACTGAGGTCTGTTCTCAGCTGTGCATGATTCTTAGGACTCATGTAATCAGATGAATCAAATATAACATACTCAATTAAAAATTTTAAAAACAACTATGTCTTTTAAGAATAGTTGAAGAGTCAGATTTCTACGTCACAATTTTTTCTTTCCTCCTAACAGTGAAATTCAGGGAAAATTTTTTTATTATTTTTAATTTTGTATCTTCATTTATATTTTTTTAAATTAGTGCATTATAGAGATACATAAAGATGAAATTCTCTATGGTATAGTCATATATGTACATACAGGAGTTTAGTCAGTTTATTCTACTATGTCTCCTTTTTTCCATCCTTCCTCCCTCTACCCTCAATTTTATTCTTCTTCTCTACTGATATCTTTTTCCTCTATTTTCATATGATTTCCCTTGCTACTGCTTTTCTTTTTTCCTTATTTTGTTCTAGCTTCCACATATGACAGAAAACATGTGACTTGACTTTCTGAGTCTGGCTTATTTCACTTAGCATAATGCTCTCCAGTTTTTGCCTTGTGCCAGCAAATGCCATAATTTTATTCCTTATGGTTGAGTAAGATTCCATTGTGTCTATATACCACATTTAAAAAATCTATTCA